AGCAGGAATCACAGCACATAGGCCAGAAATGAAGATAAAGAGGGTATCTATTCCACCACTTCCCTGTCTGAATTAATCATTGGGTTTATATATTTCAAGCATATGCCTGTTTACTCTTAAAACCCCCAACTGTTAAGGCTCTATAACCTTTCCAGGCAATCTTTTGGTACATCAATATATTCAGTGTTGAAAGCCTTCCCCAGGAATTATAAGGCAAGTATGTCCTGATGCCATACAAGCCTTCAATGATGACTTTGTCTCTCTGTAGAGCCACAGTTGGGTATTTTCAGACCATTACTCTCAGTCTACATTACTGTAGTCACAGTCTACACTAAGAAAAGTTATCCATGTCTTGATACCACAATGTTTTACTTTTCCCATTGTATGCAGAATGGGAGGAAGGAAAGGTGGAAATGCAGTCCACAATCATATTGCCTTTGACTTGAAAATACTTACTGCATTTACTGAAGGTTTTCCCAGGACAAGCTGCTCTGAGTTTTGGTTTTACTCCATAGAAGCCCCCAGCAGTGTCTTCTGCAAGACAGACTGTGCAGCAGTTGAGACCAGTTTCTGCAGCTGTGTATCACTCAGTGGAGAAGGACCAACAGGTCAGGTGCTTGCACTTGCACCACAGGGAAGCATACAGGTAGAGTGGGCTCTGAATCCACCTTCTGAAGCTGTATGTCACCGTTAGGCTATCTGATTATCCTCAAGTTTGCCTCAGCTTGTGAGCCCAGTCAATAGTCAGACAGCTTGATGCCATGACACCTACCAGCTGGTGTTTAGTAGGCACTTGGCAGCCTGGCTTTTTTATTTCCCATTTTATAGAACAGGTGACAGTGTTTTTGCAGTCTCTGAAATCTCTGTGCAAGCAGCCAACACTTGTATCTATCGTCCTCCCACAAACAAAACTGAAGGACACTCTGCTTTTACTGATGAGATATAGAAAGGATCCATTTACAGACACATCAGGGCTCAGCAAGTCTGGCCCAAAGCAAAAGAGGGGAGGAGAATCTAAACCCAAAGGAAATGTATGGTGTCACAGGCTGGCAGTGAACCAAACATTTGGATCACACAGGTCCTCAGTCTCCTTCCCTGGAGCTCCTCAAGGCCAGGCCTGTCAACATGCATGAACATCCACAACACTACATAAAACCTTCCAGTGATTCACAGCCAGGGAGCTGCCATGGTGGAGAGACTGGGCTTCCTCACACCAGCAGACACCTCCAAGTGACAGCCCCAGTCCTGCATAGGACCCACACTCTATTCTAGTGTAAAGGTAGAAATATTAGAGGGGCAGGACAAGATCCCATATGCCCTCACCAGTGTCCCCAGTCCCTCATTGCTCCAAGGCCAGTCTGAGTGCATGGGGTTTTATCACCATTCATTTAATTTGGTTCCTCTGCTGACTTTTTTTTTTCCACAGCTGCCAGTTTTCAGGAAAAAAACAAAAGGACTTATCATCCAGAAACAATCTCCTAGTCTCAGCCGTGGCTGAAAATACATGGTTCAGAGGAAAAAATAATGGACAGTGTAAGTCACTTTACTAATTCCAGCCACTTACAAATTGAGCATATGACCTAAGCAACCCTTCTAAGCTCTCTTTCTAACTAACAGAGCTAGATAAATTGTGATTCATTCCCTCAGCCCTGGCCATCTGTATGATGCTATAGCCCTCTGGAGGTGCTTCTTTCTCAGTCAATGGCCTGGCCTTTGGGGATTTATCCATATGGTTCAGAGTCTGGCCATAGGCATGACATTCTCAAGTTCTCTGCTCTGCATTTGTTTTTATGAGTGACCATGGGCAAACATGTCAGTCTCTGATGCTTTCCTTTTCCTTTCCTACCAGCCATCTCTGTCTTGCCTAGGTAGATTGCAGGACCTGCCATGTCTTACACTGGTCATCACATCTAGGCTCTAAGTAGCAGCTCTCTTTAAGCTGTAAAGGTCCCAGATCTCTTCAGAGCAAAATGCAGAACTCAAGAATGCATTAAAAGCAGTTAACATGATTCTTTCTGAAGTAAATTTTCTTGCAACGCTGCATTTCATTTGCTGCTGCATTGCCCATTTATCCAGCTTTATTAGGTTGATTTTGTCATTCCTCCTCCAGTTTTTATTGCTCTTAATCATTTAATGCCACTGTCACATTTGCTGCCTATGATCCCCTTTTAGACTATTCTTTAAAACTAATAGTGACACAGATCCTTGAGGGACTCAGAAGTTAAATTTTTGTCACATTGAAATAAGATTTACTAGTCTGTGCCTGGGTTTTGCTTGGTGCAACTCTCACATGGCACAAACCAGAGTATGCTTTATTGTCTGGTGCCTGACCAGAGCTCCCAGAAACCATCAATCTGAGGGACAGATGGGTCCCAGAGGTCTGGTCTGCATATGCACCACATCTTACCTGTCCTGGCAATCAGTAAGAGAAATGAGATGTAAAAATGCCTGAAAGACTCCAGAAAAGATCTGACCTGGACAAATGCAACATTGAGTAGATTCAAATAGCTTTTGCCTTTGTGCTGCCAGATGTGATCTTACTGCTAAGGTGCTGCCAGATGTGATCACTTTGGTTTATGGTAGCTTAGCTATCGGATAGACTAATACCAGGAGAGGCTGCTGCTCCTTAGGAGAGAAGGTGGATTCAATAACAAGTGAGGAGGACATGTGAGGAAATCCATGCTGTTGCAAACTAAATAAGTTGCTGCTCTTCCTCCTCCTGTTGGTCAGACTGTGAGGCAGTCCAGTTGCATCCTGTTCAAGAAATAGACCTTAATATATTCTCTTCATGTGCAGCTGGTGTAAACATAGAGTGGGCCTGTCCAAGACATCTTAATTTGTGCCTGCTGAGATCTGCAGCTTTCAGAAGAGGAGGAGCTGCCATTCACTGTCTCTCTCCGGGCAATGCATATGCCATCAGAGTGCTCCAAGATAGCCATTGCAACAAAACAGCTGCATCACCTAAGGGATATGTTCTCATGCATAGAGGTCAGTGATTTGCCTCTCATTTGGATGGCAATGCAGTAATAATCTGTATCAGTGCAGTCTGTTTAAACAAACAGAGGAAAATTAGCAGGGACAGCATTTGAACCTC